ACCTCCTAGCAAATAAAATAAGCCAGACACAGAAGAATAAATACCTCCTGATTTATGTGAGGTACCTGGATTGGTCATGTTCATGGAGACAGAAAGTAGAGTGGTGGCTGTCAAGAGCTGAGAGGGAAAGGAGTAGGGAGCTGGTATTCAGTGTGGCTAGGGCTTGGGTTTGGGAAGATGAAAGAGTTCTGGATATGGATAACACGTGATGGTTGTATGATTTTGTGACTGTACTTAATCTCACTGAATTATAATATACTGAAAGTAGTTTAAATGATAAATTTTATGTTTTGGGTATTTTATCTAGTTAAAACAAAAAAATAGGAATTGTATTATTTATAATATAAATATATTATTTCTATCTCTCACAGTATATTTATATATCCTACATTATTTATATCTCTCATTAGTCTCATATTAATAGAACCAGCTTTAAAGTAATGTCCATGCCATTCACCCATCTTTTATCTTTATTGTAATTTTAGCTAATTTCTAGTAAATTTATACCATTATAGTGTTTGAGTCGAAGTTCACATATATGGGTGAAACTTGCTTTACCACCCTAATCAAACTAATATTTGGAACACCTAGAATAGTTTTGCATGAAATAATGAATTTAATAATTCCACATCCTCATGTTTTATTATTTAATTGAAATAAATGCTATTATATGCCACAGCATGGCTGACTTGTGAACATAAGTAAATGAACCAGTCACTGAAGATAGCCTAGTGTATGATTAAATTTATATGAAATGTCCAAGATAATGACACAGAGATAGAAAGTAGGTTGTTTAAGGGCTAACGCAGGTCACGAAATAAGAGGTCATGGGGTGTGTCTGCAACTGAGTACAGAATTTGTCTTGGGGGAATGAAAGTTTTCTAAAATTAGATCATGTTGGTCATTGTACAACTCTTTGAAAATACTAAAAAAAGGTTATTTGCTTATTTTGAGAGAGCAAATTGTGTAGTATATGAATTATATCTTAAGCTATTTTTAAATTGTTTCCAAGGAATACAGTTTAGTTTCTCCTTTTCTTTGAAGTATTTTTTCACTTCATCATATAACTTAGGTTAGCTGAAAACAACATTGTACTGTATAAATGTAGCATTTAAAAATAATTTACTTCATAAAAAGTTATAATATGAGGACTTCCTGATTAATAATTATCAATGTGAATGTAAATGAATCTGAATGCATGTATTAAAATAATTTATATGCTATCAAATACTGAAAGATTTTGTTAAGCTAGCACTGTATTGATGCAGAACCAGGTAGACTTTAATGGTTAATTTGATGATAGTGCCAAAAAAGTGAAACTTAGTTTGCCCTTGCATACCATTGCTTTTTTAAAATTAAGCTTGATTTCATTCAGTTCAGTTTGGTTTTTCTTTATATTTTAAGTTCAGAATAAAAAAATAAAGTGATGTGATTAACACTTGGTAAGAAAAGAACAATGTGTAATAGCGCAAGATGGAAACACTATTTTAGTGATCTTATTGGCCATTTTTCAGTCTTTATCCATAAGATTATCATCTATATTTTAAGCAGCCTTGATACATCAACTTTTAAGTTATAAAGGTCTTTATTTAAAATAGACATTATTGTTACCCAGATTCCTCAAACACACATGCACTGAGGGCACAAACATACCTGTGTTCTGTTCAGACAGCCTTGCTTATGGCTGCCGTTCATCTAAGAACTAAGTGCTACTTTTGCCTTTGGTGAACCTGGACCCCACACCACACATCGTTTACAAATTGCCTCTATGAGGGAAAGACCTTGTGCCTCCACTCTAGAGTTCCAGCAGACCTTCAGAAATGCAACCCACATTGGGGCTACCTTTGAAGACTACCTTTAAAGTGTTTTCATTGTTACTTTTTATATACAGATTTAAATTATATATGTATATTATATATATAATTATATTATATGGAGAGAATTGGGTGGCATTGAGCCACATCTCCACCCTTTTTTTATTTTGAGACAGAATCTCATTTAGTTGTCCAGGCTAGGCTTGTACTTTTGATCCTCCTGCCTCAGCCTCCCACAGTTCTGGGATTACATGTGTGTGCCATTGGGCCTGGATGGTTATAATCCTTTTTTACCTACCTGAATATATACATATTTGCCTGCCTTAGCCAAACTGGACTATTACTAATTGCAAATCTGTTTTCCTATCGAAAAGTAATATATTTTACTTTGATTTTTGTTATTCAGTAAATACATATATATCAAAGCACAGTTTTCCTTTAATAAGTACAATTTTATGTCCATTAAAAATAAAATTTTATAAATTAAATCTATCTTGCTATCTTTTCTTCATATGTTGATGTAGTTGTTACCTGTATCGATACTTAAACGTTTGCTAGTATACTTAGCACAGTAACAGCCACTGTGGAGATCCAGAGAGAGGAGTAAAATGCAACCTCTGCCCCTGCAGAGCGTTTAGTCTTTGAAATTCATTATCACAGTGCTGGGCAGAGCCAAGTAAACGCTTCAGCAACACCAGGGACATTTTGAGGAATCCTAGCAGAAGAAATTTTGGCAAAGTGAAGGCAGCAAAGTTTATTCTTAACCAAGAGTGCTGAGCAAGAAAGTGGATAGAAGAAGAAATAAACACAAAATATAAACTTTGTCTCCCTAGGGTACATTAATCTCTGTTAAGTCATGACTCTGTTAGTGGCAGAAACACAGACCATAATTGAGGGGCATGTTTATTTTTTGTGTTCTGGTGTCTACCATTACACAGTTGCAAAGTCTGTAGGTTGAAGCTAAAGCTAATTACTGATGGAAAGGCTTACTTTGAGAAGAAGAAAGCCACCACGTTTATCCTACGTGTTTGCTATTGCCATTTTAATTTGTGCATTGGCTTCACTCACAGGCCAACTGCCCCTGCTGTGGTGTCCTGTTTACAGTAGGTGGCCACCCTGAGTGTTTCCAAAAGAAACTGGTCTTCCCTTGGGGCCTGAGTCTGGGGAGGTCTCCCAGGTTTATGTTATACAGATCCATACAATGTCTGGCCTTCACCTGGTAGTTGGGGAATGAGCTTATTGAAAAGTTATTCTGTGAAATGTAAATTTCCATAATCTATTTCATCTGTTTTTGTCAACACAAACCTTAATTACCTTCTAAGGAAAAAGACTATTAGATAATGTGTAATTTATGTATTGAGTGCTTACTACCTGGGCATATATTGGATTATCTTCAGTTATTTTCACAATAGCCCAGTATCTCAATAAAGGGGATGTTTTTACTATAGCCATTTTATATGAGAAATCCAGGGCGTAGAGACTTAACAGTAAAGTTTTATTTCACAAGTGTGTTATGTCATTTCTCACCATAGTAGGAAGTTTAAAGTCACTTGAAACTCTTACATCCTACCCATTTGTACAATTATTTTTATTAAGTGTTTTGGGGAATCTTAAAAATCTTGGAAATCAGATCATCATAGCAAATAACGAGTGTATTTACTGCAGAGTACAAAATGATAAGGGTTACTCTGCCCAATCCACACCATGTCTGGAGTAAGTATATGAACAGCCTGCTAAGTACTCAGCCCAGAAAGTGTATAAATATATTTAGTTACTCATATTCGTGTCCGCTCCCCCCTCCTTTTCTACTACCTAACAAACTAAACTTCAGTTCCACTGTAGTACAAGGGAAGGTCTAAATGATATCTATAAATAATTTTATTTGGTAGTCTGAATTTCTGAGGGGAAAGTATTTAAAGAACAATTAAGCTGCTACCGCTAATGTTCACAGTTAAAAGAAAATGGAGAATCAAAAGGCAAGGTGGATCCATGCTCATGACTGACTTTTGAGTAACTAAGAAGTAACTGTATGGAATTGGGCTCTTTGATTCCACAAGATCCTTCAACATATGATTTTAAGGATGAAATGAGATATCAGATGTGAAACTGGTACTTTGAAAACACAAAGTCACTGGAGGGCTGGGGCTTTTTCTCAGTGGGTCCACCCCCTGCCTCACAAAAGCAAGGACCCATGTTCCATCCCCAGTACCAAAAACAACGAAAAAATGTCACTGGACACCTGCATTATTAAAGACAGCTCCTTTTCAACATTTTTATCACTAGTATTAATTCTCCCTTTCCCTCCCCCCTCCCTCCAGGACTCACTCCCTCTCTCCTGCTCCTCCTCTTCCTCCTCTTCCCTTCCCCTCCCTCTCCCTTTCTTGCCTTGATTGACCACTTGATAGCTTGTACCAGGGAAGGACTGAATTGATCACTTTCCTCTTGATTGAAAAAATGATTAGGTTAAGTGGCTTTACCTTTGCCTCTCTTTTGTATCCTCTTCGTGTCCTCAAAAGAACATTAAAACACCATGTTTCCTAATTTGTTTCTCTCGAATTTCCTTTTTACTTTCTAACAAATTCTTCCCCTCTGCTCCACCAAGTGTGAGTGAAATGGCAGGCTTCATTATCTGGTCTTGTACCTTTTGCATGGTATATAATTCAAAGCATATGTAACCAGCAACTAACTGAAACGAGAGAAAAGAAACAGGTGAGCTGTGGGCTATGCGTTCCTTTTTGTCCTTCAGTATTTTTTTTTTACAAAAGTGTTGACTTAAATTTGAAACTCCCTATTCAGGCACGCAGGAGATGAGGTCTCTTGTTCAAGTACTGCTGGTTCTCCTGCTAATGTAACAAGAAACCCTGGAGGTGAAGAAGGATGGTGTTTATTTTGAAGTACTAGAAGATCTTTTTGCTCATTCTGTATTACTTTATGTTATGTCTTTTTTTTAAAATCACCTAAGAGACACAGTGAACAGGAGATGATTCTTTTTGGGAATCCAAGGAAATGGATACTGAATTCCCAAGTGTCATCCTAAAATTGTGCAGTTGATGATCACTTAAGAGCTTTGAAGACTGGTCTATTTTCAACTTTGTCTATTCACTTGCACTTACAGGTATTGATCTGAGAGAAACCATTCCCTGATTTATTAAAACAATGAATGCTTTCTCCTTCCATTTGTTTAAGGAAATGGCGAAAATCCTCAATCACCGCCGAGTCTATGCTTTCCTGCACATCCCAGTCCAGTCTGCCTCTGACAGTGTGCTCATGGGAATGAAGAGAGAATACTGTGTGGCTGACTTCAAAAGAGTAGTGGATTTTCTGAAAGAGAAGTAAGTCTGTTAGTACTTAAGTAAATAACCAATTCTTTTCTTTTCTTTTTTTTTTTAACTCCCAAAAGTGTGTGGCAACAGTGCAATTACTGCCACCTTACAATTAAAGGCACAAGACAGGAGGCAAGACTTTGGAGGCTTTCAAAGCCTTTCGGCTTCCTTGGGCACCCTTGATGTGGTTTTTTTCCCTTAACTTGTATCCTCCTCCATCTGTGCATTGCGCACGGTGCATTTGTGTGAGCTTGCCACTCATGTGAAGGTGCCGTAAATTGTGATTATTTCTATACCTGATCTGGTAGATGAAAATGTTTTAGGTTTAGTCTGCTTTAAGTCTCCTTTAATGTGGCTTTTTAAAGTTCTGAGGTGGTTTTGACATGGAGGTGAGGGCCAGGTCTTGTCACTACAAAATAGATTATTTTCTACTGATGAGCATTTTTTGCAGAAGGCCTGGAATGCCTTTCCTTTCACACACTAATCCCTGTAGTTTACTTGAACTCTTATGATTTACCAAGAGGCTTGGGGATTCTATTTTTTCAAATCCAAATCACTATTGACCAAAATTAAGACATATTTACACAGTCTCAGGCATGAGTGATAATTTTGTTTCTACAGAAATCACTTGCAGCTCATAATTATGTTCTTCAAAATGCTACTGCTCATCACCAAACACAGGATGCCTTCTGTGATTACCCAAGGCAGGAAGTAGAGATGCCAGCCAAGGTCACACAGCCCTTCTCAAGTCTAGGGCATTGTTCTCCCCTCTGGGAACGTCTCATTTATCTTGGCATATTTGTGGCATGGGCCTTACTACTTTCCATAATTTTTTTTCCTCTGTTGTTTTTCTTGATTAAGATTCAACTTTTTGTTTCCATCTTCTTGTTTATAATTATGTACCTTTGTACCATGTCAAAGTACTACATGGATGTGATTGCTTTATACAAATTGTAAGCAATTATTTTTTCCACCTTTAATTAGTCACTTACCCTGACTGCATGCAATTGTTACAGAACCTTTTTCTTCTATTTACTTTTTTCTTCTTTTCTGTACATGTCTTTTTAATTTTTTTCACCTCTAGGCATTTCTTGATTAATCTGACCACCAAGAATAAAGACACTTAGTGTGCAGTCAAATATAGCTAAGTGTTCAAATATCCAAATCAGTGAATAAAAAATATATTTATTCTGAGATTTCATAATTACAATGATTAAGTATATACAGCCTTCAAAGCCAAAAATAGTATAACAACAGATCTCCCAACTCTAATGCTCTTGGTTGAGAAGAACTGGTCAAGGCATTTTTGTATGAAATGTCTTTTGCTGAAACATATACCTTCGTTGCATTTATTTCAGGTTTAATAGGTAAAGTTATGTCATGTAAGAGTCCTTTAATGTTCTGCCTTTGGAAAAGGAAATGTTTCAAAATTGCAAATAAATTGTTAAAACTGGGAAATTTTCTTCTCTCGCTTACTAAAGCAGTTAGCAAATAATGCACATACTTCACATTATGCAATATTTTGCCAAGTATGGCTGTGCATTGCCAAGGAATGGACAAGAATGCCTTCCAGATTGATGAGTTAATGTTACTGCGTGGAGTTAGGGAACTAGCACCTCTGTTTTAGCTCCGTTTGGGTGAGTGCTGACTCACTTGTTTGCAGAATCATTGTGGCTACTGTAAGCATTACAGATGCCAGCCTTCTGTTGCTCTGAAGAGGGAACTCTGAAATTTGTTGCCTCTCAAACAATTTGAGCCACTTTTATGAGCTATGTAGAAGGCAAACAATGGTCACATCAAGTTACTCAAAAACAGCCTCTTGCCATTATTTGCAGACTACGCTCAGAGTCTTTTCTTTGGATTCTGAGTTACATGAGGCATCTATGTAGCTTTTCTAGTATTTCACTAGCTGGAGGTACTAAACCAAGTTGCCTACTCAGGGTCTCCAGTGTTTCCAGTATGAGAAATATCAGAGATCCCTGGAGAAGATACAGGGTACGCGCAGAGGCAACACCCCATCTCACATTCCTCTGTCCATAACTTGAAGTGCCATGAATTCCTGGAACATAGAGCATACTAGCGAGTGAGCCATCTCCAGGGGATTTTTGAATTACCTGTGCTATATATGCAGCAAAGTTAGAAGCAACCTGGTATCTATGTTCACACTTAATGGCTAAGATGTATTTGAAAAATGTAAAAGGTGGCATATGTGATGTTCCTGTTTTTTATAGCAGATAACTGAAAAAATTCCAGGTACTCTATTTAAAATAATCTCTAAGTTCACTGTGCTAACAGTGGTAATTTGACTGAGATACTTCATCAGAAACTTGAGGCCATTACTGTTGCTTGTGAGGACTAGTTCAGCCCTGTTCCCAGGAAGACAGTACAATCCAGTTTTGTAGTTTAGTGACATAATTTTTCTGTCCTCTTAAAAGAAGTCCGTCCACCCAATGAATAACTTTCAGTATTATAGATTCTTAAAAATAATGAAAAAAATGGAAACAAAGTCTTTGTAAATAGAGAAGGGTGAAGGGGGTAAAGCGGGGGTAGGGGTATGGGGAAAAAACAAGAACCAAGACGTATCATGTAAAGGTACAAGATCTCAATGACAAATTAACTGTATTGTTTGCTTTATATGTACCAATAAACAATGGGGGGGAGAAAGTGTAACTCACCCACGTTAAAAAAAATTAAATATTTTAAGGAGACTTCTGTTCTTTATTTTGCTTATTTCTCCACCATAAAAAACTAACTGAACAGTGGTTTCATCACTTGCCTTGCAAGCACAAGGGCCTATGTTCAATTCCCGATAACAAAAAAGAAAAAAACTAACTGAACTTTATTCCAAATTTTATTCCAAATAGATGAGTGCTTATTTTGGAAATGCCAAAGTTTCAGGGCTTTCTATAGGACCAGTAATCTAGTTAACTGGTCTGCATAAAATTGTTTCATCCAACATTTATTAAAAATCAGTACAGTATTTTCATTTTTTGCCTTATATGATCATGCTGCCCTGATTTATGCTCAATACTTAATAGTATGTTTGATGATTTCTTATATTTGCTTTTTATATCCTGTATGAATAATGAATATGGCCTTTTCCATTAGTATGTCATTTTCTATGAAGTCGTTGAAAATTTTGGGGGAGGTAATAACCCTTTAAGAGTATGAATTTTTTTTTCTTCCAATCTCTGTGAGGTTTCTTAGATCTTCCTGTTGTGAATGAGGGATGAGCATTTCCTAATCTGTTCCCTCAAAAAGCCAATTTTAAAAGAATTTATATATTTAAGCCTGAAATCCAAGCTATGGAAGCTTACCTGAAGCTTCAAGATTTTTTTTTTTTTTTTTGAGACAGGGTCTTACTATGTAATGCAGGATGCCCCTGAACTCACTGTGTAATCCAGGCTGGCCTTGAATTCTCAGTGATCCCTCTGCTTCAGCCTATGCAATGCTGGGATTATAGGCTTGCACTACCATGGCCACCTGCAGGCTTTTAAACCACTAATTCAGTAGTATTTTTGGAGCCCTTCTTCTCAAACTGTGGAGACAAAATCTTTTTAATTAATTTTCTTTCCTGTTGGAAATGGCCCACATTTTAGCTTCAAGCAATGTAAGTTTACAAGGGAGCCAACTTGAAGCTGATTCATTATTCTCCTCAGTTGTTTGAAAGTTGGCAGCAAGTATCATAACAGCAGCTGGATTGAAGATAACCTAGTAGTGTTGGCACATGTAGAGCATATGGGAATTTATTAAATCATGCAACCTTTGCAATAGTGTCTAAATTACTTAATACACTAATTTAAAACAGCTGGTCATGAGCAGACAATCATACGACTTAAATTATTCTATTCAGGTTTATTAATCCAGTTTAGCATTAAGTAACTTGATGTTTTTATTTCAGTGAATATGATGATTTCTCAAAATATACAGTGGGATTTGTAGGGACATGAAAAAAGCTACATAGAACTAAGCAGGAGGTACAGTTCTGGTTTGAGGAAAAATTTATTTTTTATAGTTTCTGACAAGTACCTCAAAGTTTACTACTCTCATTAATTGTCACATAATTGGTTTCATGGTTGTGTTTTCAATATATTATTAGGATTTTTTTTAAGTGTAAAACTTGAATTACTTTCTTCCTGTCATTATCAGTTACTTCCCAATTTGAGGATCTTTTTTTTTTACCTTGTTAGGTTGAATTCCCAGGACTCGACTCGAGACCTTGGGCATGAACTTTAATTGGGGTCCACTCACAAAATCAGCAGTAATTTTTTTTTCTTTTGAGGCTGTAGCTCTTTTTTTTTTCTTTTTATTGAGTTTATTGATACAATCTCGGTATACAATACAGTTACATTTATTATTGGGATCCTGTAGGTCTTGATTCTCATTTTTTCCCCTTGTCCCTGCCCTTTCTTTACATGATGACATCCCAGCATAAACCATGTATTACCAAATATTCAAAAAACAATATGCAGAGTTTGCTTCTCAACCATGTGTTCTAATGCTAAATAAAATAATCTGAACCCTCAAATTTACATGTGAAATCGTGAATTACAAAGTTGCAAATGTCCTATTGATGAATTTTAAGAAATGAACAGTTCATATATTAAAAACTCTACCAGTGTAGGCAAATTATTTTGTTGGAAGCCCAGTGGTTTTGGCTTTATGTTAATCAGACCTTATCTAGTTAATATCTCCATCTTCCTTACTCAGTAAATTCATTATAAATGAATTGACAGTTAATATATTTTTCCTACAAGTTGCACCTTACTGTATTAATCTTTATGTTGATTTTTATTCCATTAGGGTTTTTTAAATCACATTTTTAATTAATTTCATTGGTACATTTTAGGTATATAATATAATGACATTCATCATTGAAAATTTATACCTTTATATAATATGTCTTAGTTCTTATTTTTCCCCTTTCCCCTGCCCTCCCTCCAACCCCTCCAATCCTTCCTATTTAAAATGACATTGTTTCCATTTTTTTCATTTTCTCATATTAATTC